ATGCTGGTAGAACAATTCAAATCATAACGTGTACACCACTAGAATGGTCGTCCGACGTGAGGCCTGTTCGATGCTGTCATTATAGATTTACTACTTGTGGTTACTTCAGTAGCAGGGCTTCTGCATCGGAAGATGCTAACGTCCCATGTGCTCGCCCTGGAAACACGGGCCTCTATTATCTGGATTCAGTCAGGCTTATAAAGGTTTAACAGTTGCTGTCAGAATGTCTGCAGAAAGCTGACGATATACTTGCAGTTCTTCTACAATAAACTTCCAACTTGTAGCCACCTTTCCCCTTATTAATGAGGACTACTATTGAGCACCCGAAGTTCTCTTCTGAGATGTTACTCAGTCGGTCTACTAATGCAATATTCACGAATTATCTGAAATGCTGCACCTTTTCAGGGTATAAATCTTCAATGCATATTGGCAATATTCCAACTCCACAAAATGGCATACATAATCTTCATTCGCCGTGGATACTTAACGTGAACGCAGTGGCATCTGAATGACAGTGGAATCGCCTGCCTGATCCTGGTCGTGTGTGCCACTGGCACTGTCAGAACTGTCTCTCATCCCACATGTATATCTTGGTGGGACTTACAATATAGGTTGAACAAAATCCGAATGCACCTGTAATGATAGTTTACTCGAGGCCTGCTCCTACTTGATGAGCCATAAATGGAAGGGCAAAGCGATCTTGTGCTGTCGAAGAGTTTGCAGCAACCTTGTGAGTAGTGCTCTTTATGAAAGTACACTGCGATATCGTGTCAATGAAGCATGAGGCGGCATGCGCGCAGCACATTCAGTTGAACGATATCGTAAAAGAGAGATTTAACTGAGTCTCCTGTGGAAACCCAGTTGCTATTCAAACGAGTGTATTTGTCGAGTTGTGCACGGTTGGTTTCTCAAAAACGCCGACTGTATCTTTGGTCCCAAAACACAAGCGTTGTTCTGCGATTTTCAGCATTCGATCCTCCTTCACCCGACCCAGTTTTGGGCAATCGCAGTGGCAAATTGATTCGTTTTCAATATAACGGTGGGTGGTGAATGACAAAAAACGGTCAGTTATCGAGAGTTTTCCAATTAAACGACTACTCGATAAAATCGGCAACGTCACGCGGCGGAATTTCAGAGACGATTGGATTTAAATGAATGGTGCCCATAAAAGAGCGTCATTTCACGCTTCAAAAATCCCCAGATCATTGTGATTTTGGGCTTAGTTGTCTTCAGGTTTCTGGCAAGGTACGCAGGAAACGATATCGAAAGGTCTCAGCAGTAAATCATTAATAAGGATTTGATAAGAATTGGTGGAGTTATGAATTAAGATAACTGCGCTTGTCTCCGCAACTATTCTATCTAGGTATGCACTCCTGATTCATTTTCTGGAAATTAGCGCGAGCGCCTGAGCTTCGTGCTCCTTTCAGAGTGCGGGCAAATCGTGGTAAAATGAAGCTTGACACAATCAACTAATCGGCATAACATTCGGCCAGACAGAAGCCTTGTGTGGGTCACCCGAGGAATGTAAGTTTGTTGACATACCGTCCAAGCCTAGCAGGAGTGGTCGAAGTGCCGGGGTTCGACGCAAACTACGGTACTTCCCATCACTAGGTTTGTACTCTAACCATCGACTACCTTGGTGTCCGTATAAAAGTGAATTTGTCGCCTAATTGGAAAAAAGTCATTCATTATACTACGACACACGTCATCTAACATCCACCATAGACGGTCGTGCCCGGTTAAACTGTGACAAACGCATTACACCCAAGCTCACCTGTCCCTTCGATGAACCAATTTTTTATCCACGGGACAAAGCGCTGCAAACCACCAGTCAGTCTTGCGACAACCCGGTCTACTTTGACCAAATGAACGCCTGGCAATTCGTCTGGAGGACAATATTTTTCAGAAAACCTAGGTAAGATACTGATCAACTCAATTCTGCATTATTAGGAATCTAAGGAATATGCAGACAAGAACCTATTCCGGACAACTGATCGGACACAAGAATGTCCAAGGATGTCGGAAAGGAAGCATGTGGTCTTGTCGTGCCTTGTACTTTTCACTGCTATATTTTCCGGTCGTTCTACCTGAAACTATTTCCAAGAAGTGACCACAGATCTGTCGGCCGTTCCGAATCAAATGAGACCGTGTCCATCGCAGTCTGTCGGTCGAAAGTGACCAAGTGGGGAGAGAATTGGCTCACTTGTACTCTGGAGATGGATGAACATGCGACGCTTGTACAGTCAAGTCTGAAGCTACCACTATTGCTTATCTGCCAATTAAATCCATCGTTCTCCTGTCAGGTTGACGTTCGCATGCTCCAAAACAAAGTATGGGCATTGGGCATTATACCATAAAACTTAATAGATAGACTTAAATTCAGTTTCAACCGAATGAGATTACAGATCCACAACACTGTTCAGTTTTATCATGTGTGCACGGTGGCATCAGACTTTGGTCGCGAACCACCATGATTTACAACTAAATACTCAAAAATTAGTCTAATCACACTAGGTCTGTTGCTAGCAGTGTTTTTACGACCGCCAGTGTGGTACGAGCAGCGCACTATCTTCATTTGAGGTCAACTGTGTAGAATAAAATTGGTCATTCCGACCTGGTTCTACTCGAAGATGATCTCACACGATGCTGGTTCACACGTGAACACGAGAAAATGCATCTAGTAGCGCAGATATTTCTCCCCCAGCTTCAAGCTCAGACAACATTTTTCGTTCTAGAATGGTCACATTCTAGTTGACTGCGTGAACCCATGCGAAGTCACTATACACAAATATTCTGAACTTCGTTAGCTAATCGACGAAAATTCAAATCGAAAGCTCTAAGATTCTTCAGGAGGGCTATCGTGCTGAAACCGAAATGGTGAGTTGGTGCAGATTGTTATACTGTGCGCTTGTGCGGTGTAGTTGACATCGAATCAAACGTAAACACATGAATTACTGGGTGGCGAAGAGCACATACATGAGACAAGATCAAAGACCGAAGTCCGTCCGGCTGTGTGTCTTGGAACACAGTAGTGTCCTTAATCAATGCACCATACTTTAAAGGCAAATCACGGTCTAGTGATAGTGTAACGGCGATACTGCTGATGGGGGAGGCATGCGAATAGTATGTTTTCTTCCTGTAAATTCGCTTTGCGTCTCCTGAAAAGGGAAATCTATTCCGGAATTTGTGGAGTCGCTTTGTATCATTTGCTTGGATTGGAGCAGCAGCCAATGAATATCCAGGAAAGTTCAGGAAGATGCTTTCAAGAGAAGATGGATGTCCAGTTTTTGTAAATAAGATGCGTATGTGAGTTTTGCTTCCCTGTCCAATAGTCTGTAACTGGTCAGTTGGCACTTTCTAATAAATATCTCCGCAGCGAAAGCCTTCTTCCTTTCAATGATATTCAGAATTCCTGGAAAATCGTACATATTTCTTGGACGGTCAGACGGTCAGGGAAAAATTATGTGTGATTTTTCGCGCTTGTGCTCGGATATATGTGAGGCAAGCGCAAACCTTTCAAAGATAGTGGATAAGTTGTCGATGAACGAAAAAATTGCCGGTTGTTAATCCCAAGTGAGGATAAACTGTTATTATTTTAGTGCACAGTTTTTAAAGCACCTTTATGGACAATTGGCCCCGTAATATCAAACACGTGCAACTAAACTCTATCGCGTGACAGCTAACAGCAGCTTTCGTTCTACATCGCCAGGTGGATTGTTTTTGCATGTCCAAGAATGATGTGCATGCGTTGTGAAGAGATTGCACCAAGAGAGTGGCTCAGCGGGTTTCTGAAATCGGACGAACACTTTCCTAGCGTTATATTGGCTCATAATTTTCAAGGCCACGTATCATCTGTGCACATGAACGAACGTCGTACAAACAGGCTCTGAGTCATTTGCAGGAACAGATCGATCAACTTCAAGAGCATAGACACCATTTGTTTGAGTGACCAAATGGATGGAGAAGGTTAAATAATGGGAGCACGCCAACTACTGTCGGAAGTGAAAAAAAAGGTGATTAACCGTCTGCCTCTTGGGCTCTAACTGGTCGACTCTGCTCAATCCCAGAAAACAAGGCTTGCTCACAAAAATGGTGCCAGATTTCGAGTAGGGACTTGTTACCTGGCAGCCGAAGCATCATTAAACCAACGATGCTTTTGGCGCTGATCCATCAGTTACTCTAAAAACTGAGTTTTAACTATAAGTGAGCCTCTTCAATATGGGATTGAATATTGAAAATTGTTCAGTTTGACGTTTTACCGACGCTTCATGCTGGCAAGACAAGACCTGCGGTGATGACTTCGCTATGAATAGACCTCACTGAATCGGGAAGTGTTGTATTTGGAAGTCCCAAGGAGTGCTCATCAGTTTTGGGAAGCTCACGAAGGACTGTGGTGACTAACAAATTTGCTGTATCATGACCGAAGTTACCGGCGCAGTGTCGTATAGGGTAGTCCATGAGATTTTAACTAGAAATTCTAACGACATAATTTACCTGGATAGCTGATCCTGATAGAGCAGTAATCTGATGGGTACGGCGAATCGAAAGTGAACGGACGGTTTAACCCACGGAGTATTTGAAGTGGATATCATCAGCTTGTCATTCAATGGCAAGGAGACGCATGAGCGGAAGCACAGTCCCTCGGTGACTTAATTTAAGACTATCTAACTGGATCACGAGTGCACCGATCCAGCGAAAGCACCGAGAAAAGTTTGCGATCAAATGGCTCACAAAGCAGTCTATACACTGAGGTCACAAACAGGGTTGTGTGGGCATTCATTTTTGTATGTTCCATCGAAAGAAGCCCACGGATCTCCAGAATTATACCGCCACCAATAAAATATAATCTGTCTATTTGATCCACCTCAGATTGCGCTTAACTCTATGCGTCTACTGCACGGATCCACACCCACGCACAGTTGGTTCCACCACATGCATTTCACCGTAGATGTATCCACATAAACGCCATGTAGTCGTTCAAAACTCGACAGCACGAGACCGCAGAGTGAATCACCCCACTCACTAGACGTATTCTAATTACAAACATACGCCTAGTTGGTGCCAGCTCTCACTCAGCTGGTTTTGTACAGCCGTGGTCACCGACAGCCATATTTGAAAGCTCAACATTCCGGGATACCCATAGTGTTGATATTGAACTTTCGCATATAGATACACGAAATTCATATAACGAAGTACAATAGGATACACCATGTTACAACGCCACACAGCACAGTAAAGTACAATACAAAAATACAATACACAAAACAAATAAAATGGTAATGAAATCAGCAAACAACTTGGCAACCAAAACCAAAATCTTCCTGTGGGGTGAAGTCGGCGGACACAAATAAATTGTTGGCACTCACGGATTACTCAAAAATGGTTGTTGAGGAACATGCAGGATACGTGTTCTGGTGCACCGAAGTTAGATATCAATTAGCTCCTTCCTTAAAAAAATGCCATGGAAAGCCACAAGTACAGCACCAAGCTCCGGAATGACCAGAGCAATAAATTGGGAATGATCTAGCAGCTAAATTCACTGGTTTTAACCTCGGATAAACTTGGACCTTGTAATACTAATAAACTGAACCCCTGACTCATCGACCTGACGTTTCGTGGACAGGCACGATTTGACTTGATCACGACCAGTGACCAGTCGACAACAGGACGAACGTTGAAAGTGACGAATTCTTCTTTGAGAGTGCATACAGGACGGACTACGTAGTAGCATTATCAGTCTTCCCGCTGAGAGACTGCAGTTTACTGTACATTTGTGTAAACCACACACGGTCTTCCAAATGTGTGAGAATGCGGACCTTCGTCCCGTGGACCAGACTCAACAAACCAAAACTTCTGATGCTGAAAAGATGTCCATCCAGTTGACACTTGATCTGCAGGCCGCATTCACAACGGCCGATTGGAGAAATCCAGGGCACGGATGCACGCATGTTTCACGCAAATAAGTGTTCCGGTATCATCTGAAGTCGAACCATTGGTTTGCAAGTCCACTCTGACGAATTTTGGCGGGCGGCTGTAAAGTAAAAATACTGCACCCACTAGTTCACTTTTGAGGGAGTTGAGGACCATTTGGAATTTCAGGAAGAGCCCCTGAAGCGAGGAAAAACTCAACCATCAATACACCTTCTTCATCTAAGTCAAATTTCGTACGATTGGTGAATCGATCGAATGGTTTTCAACGGTGCTATTGTGTTCACTACGCCTGTGACTGGCTGGTGGACTAGGTCGTGAGTTGGACGATACCGATTAGATATCCCGAGGAGAGCTTGGTTACTACATAAGGATTAACTCCTTTATGTGAGCCAATGAAATCAATGGATAGTAACCAACGGGGAAAGAGGTACTTTTTCGAGATACGGACCTGGATATCGATGACAGTTTAATCATTTGGATGGATAAAACAAGTTAATCTGCTTTGCCCACGAATCGTAGATGGTCAGTGAGACACGCGGTTTCGGCTGTTCAAGGAAAGTACTGACACAGCATAGGGTGCAGGATTAGGTAGCAACCGTGAAAAAAGGCTCGTAGTTCTTCGAGTTCGCAAGCAGTGGATGCGGTGAGAAGTGCTGTTTGGGTTGCCTTCACAGGATGTCAACTGACCGATCCCAATCACCCCTGAACTGTCTTTGCACAGTACGACTTTAGATCTGAAACGCTTATATGCTCACTGGCCGACTTACAGCATCTCAATTCTATTGAGTATATGTACTCATACGAAGTTTGTTTATTTACCCCAGGCATGTGGAGTATGTTGAAGTCACAAGTCGATCAGAAAACAAGAATGGCGGTTCCACGTTTCGGAGTGGTTAGTAGATATTTTCGGAAACTGTACCCGCACGATATAAAATATATCACATGCGCTTGTCAAATGCTCAAATGTGAGACACTTCGTACTTCTTTATTGGGGACAAAAAGACCAGAAGCCGTGAGTTCGATTTCTGCTATATGGGAGACAGCACTTGATTACTGTTATTACCGATGGTGCCCTATCAAATTTGTTCTGATGTGTCTTATCTCACTACTCACGGGTCCGTGTAGTCACGATGTTTCTTGCGTAAACAACTCACCCTAAGGAAGCGTCCTCGTTAGTCCACAACGACATGAAGAAACAGTTGACCCCAGTCCCTCTTTTGCTTTATCTAATCAACGATGCGTGTCCGTTACGTGTCGGGTAGCCTCACAATAGGGCACCGAGATTAGCCTGTGGCCTGGCTTGCCACTACCTCATCATTGCACTTACGCGCAACGCATACGGAAGTCTCACCCATGCAATCACAATAGCACTGTTCGATCGGCCTTACACAATAAGAGTCTGTTTGTCTTTTACTATATCATTGAGTGTGATATACGATGCAATATCCCGCTGAATCATGGAGCTTCTCGCTGGACTCGAGTTGATCTCAGCTATATGTACTGCTGCGTTGGATCCAGTCCCCCTCTTTTAGGGGTGGGGTAAAGTTAGACCATGATGCGTCCACACAGTTTGTTGATATCGTGCCGGAGTTCCAGAAAACCGAATGAGGTAGAGAAGATTGGATAGATGTTCCTCACTTCATTGATGCCAGCGTATCGCTTCATGAAGCAAAAAACGTTTTGTTTATTGCGCGTGCGAAGTTAGAGTCTTACACTGACTATAGGACAGATAACGGCTTGTAAGCACTTGCGGAATACGCGACCGGATGAGTTACTGGGATAGGACACAGATTGACTAACACTTCCTCCCGCTTTGCTTAATTGAGGGCATTTGTTCCATGTAGGCCACAGGTATCATGTACCATGGTTGAAATCGTTTAACTCGCAATTCGCAAGCGATATCGTCAGATGTCGTCCCCATTGAAGACCACTGACTGGGGAGAAGGTATTCAAAATGCGGTAAATCGCCTGCTCAAGCTTTAATTCATCAAAAGTGCCATTCGGACTGGTTTGCAGCAATGTATCGGAGAAGAAAGATTTTGTTTTAGTTGTTGAAAATATCGGAATCCAAGATATCCTAGGGCTGAGGATAACATGCCCTAGGTTTACTGCTACTCGGAAGATGGACGGAAAACATTGTGTAGATATAACATCCTGTCCATGCAATGTATTGCGATACTGGCGTATCAAATCAACAGTCCGATGCAACACATGCGGTTGCTTGAAA